TGGGCGATAGTAAAAAGGGTTTTGTGGTAATTAATCAGAAAGGGATTGACCCGTTGTCGCTGGACATCCTTTGTAAGAACGGAATCTTTGCGCTGAGACGTGCAAAAAGAAGAAATATGGAGAGGTAATTTTTATATATATAGAGTCAATGGTTCACATAAATGTGACGCGTTATCCATAATGATTTCTTCTTTCCGTATCATAGACTTCAACTTGTGTGCGGTGGCATCGCGCAAAATTCGGTAGATGATTTAACGCCTGAGGTGCTTGGACATGCTGGACTTATATATGAGCATACACTGGGTGAGGAGAAGTACACGTTCGTGGAGGAGGTTAAGGATCCCAAATCCGTTACAATTTTGATAAAAGGTTTACCTATTCCCTTTCTCGAATTTCTGTTAAGGTCACCATTACCATTTCGGTCAAGTATTAACTAATTTCCTTCTTATCATAAAAAAAAAAAAAAAAAAGGACCCAACGCTCACACGATTGCGCAGATTAATGATGCAGTCCGGGACGGACTAAGGAATGTTAAGAATGCAATCGAAGATAACTGCGTAGTACCGGGGGCCGGTGCATTCCAAGTCGCACTCAGTTCACACCTGAATAAATACAAAGATTCAGTTAAGGGACGTGCAAAAATGGGAGTACAAGCGTTTGCGGATGCAATGCTGGTTATACCGAAAGTCTTGGCGACAAATGGTGGATTTGACCCTCAGGACACTATTGTTGCTCTGCAGGTTTGTCGCGACCCGTGTACGCGTGTGCAAACGGTTGTTGTTTGGTAATCTTGTGAAATTGAAAAGTTTTACTCTGTGTCAATAGGAGGAATATGCCGAAGGACATATAGTCGGAGTTGACTTGAATACCGGAGAAACCTTGGATCCTGTTCAAGAAGGAATCTGGGATAATTATCGCGTCATACGTAACATGTTACATTCATGGTATGATTTTAATGTGGTTCATTTTATGTCGTTCGCTTTAAACGGACACTGATATCAAATTTCAAATGAAAACTTTATTTTGAACAATATAACGATGGCATTAGTTCTGTGATAGCAAGCAACTTTTTATTGGTCGATGAGATGATGAGGGCTGGCAGATCAAGTTTGAAAAGTGATAATGTTCAAAATTAGAAAAAAAAACACCAAATTATTGTTGCTATTCAGAGAAAGTTTCTCTCAACAAATTATATCAAACGATTAGCTAAAGATTATAAACATAATCCTTCTCTCTCCCTTAAGCAAAACAAAAGGAATGCTCCAGAGATACTTCGTAATATTCGTTTTTTTATAAATTGTCAATAAAATCACTAGAAATTAATTACATAACATTATGGTCGAATTAAGATTATGTAACGGTTCTAACGCCATGCGCGCTTAAATAATGAATTTGCGTAATGTTAAATCTCTGTTTATTTACAATAACAGAAATCCAAAAAAGGATAAGAATCCTTTAATTGTTATTTCATGTTCGGTTGGACCGTAGTCGGTTCTTATTAGTAGTTTTTTTTTTGTTTGTTTTTTTTTTTCTTTTTTTTCTTAACATAAAAAAAAAAAATTTTTTTTTTCATCTCATTGAGATTTAAGGTTTTATCTCCGCTGTTCTCTCTAACTTTTATCTAAAACTTTCCCACCTGCGCCCTTAACTCCCCCCCCCCGTGTCCTTTCTATTAGCCAAAGTTATTATCTATGAATTGTTGTAACATATATCTATTAGCTAATCTCGCCCAGAACGAAAGGAAAGCGTATTGTATGCGTGCATTTGATCCCACAGAAACCGGTCGCTAAAATTCAAATGGTGAATGACATCGTGTGGTAAAATGAATGAGTGGATGTCGACGTGATAAAAAGAAAAATCCCTAGATGACATTACTAAATTAATATAGCAGTAGGTTGGCAGGTAGTGTGGAAATTACAAAGATTTCTTTATGAGGTGTTTTTGATTTTTAATTGAAGCGTAAGTTGACGAAACGAATTAAAAAAAAAAAAAAGAAAAGAAAAGAAAAAGGATTTAAGAAAGGCAATGAAGCAATGGCACCTTTCTTAACAATTTGCGAAAATTGAAATGAAAATTGTTCGTGAATCCGTCATCCTTTAATCATTGTCGGGTTTCTTATCAAACTGGTCATCATGAAGTTAGTTGGCACTGATGGCGGAAGTAGTGATTTCATTGGTGCCAAAAAATGAATTGATGGGCCAGGTAGAACGACGAACGTCGGATCGTGTTTGTATAATGCTCTTGGCGTATTCCAGTCTTTCGGCATCGCTCTGGTATTGCTCAAGGCTCGGTAAACTCGCCCGTTTTTGTCCGGTCTGTTATGAGAAGGAAACTCTTGTCAATAAATGTAAATTTATTTCAATTTTCCGAAAAAAGTAAAGATTTACCTTATACTTCTCGTATTGAAATATATGATGAAGACGGAACCGCGTTTGTTCAAAGGTTTCCTTTGATATTTTATCAATTAAAGCCTCTATTGTGTCAATGAATGATATTAATTAATCAAAACCGATCGACCGATGTAAATGAAGAAAGAAAAAAAGAATTTCCAAAGCGTGTCACATACTTGTCGTCGGCGATAGTTCGGAAAGATCAACTTTTTTGCACGTGATGGGGGTGGAGATTTTTGCAGTTTCCGGGGGTTTCTTTGTCGACTCCTTATTTACCATTGACGCGACAGGACTGGTAGGCCTCGGGATGTTCGGACAACGGTTTGTGATGAACTTATGAGGAGGTTTGTTACTTTTCTGGGCCATCGGTGATTTCTGCGGTTGAGGGGGTGTCGTTATGGTCGTCGTGGTGGTGGTGGTGGGGGGCGAAGGGGTAGAGTTTTGGGGGATCATTCCGCGGTTCTGCATCTCCTGCTTTGTGATTTCGCTTAGGGCTTTCCTGATATATTTCTGAAAAAAGGTGCCAGCGCTGGCCAAATATGCGTCGACTTTTACGTCGCACTCCGGATATTCCATCAAAAGTTCGTGGAGCTCTTGAATCCCCTGAAAATGTAGAATGGTTGTTAGACAGGGTCGACAAGGATGGAAATGAAGAGACAAAGGAACCTACCTGTTGGGCAATATCCAGTTGACCAATTTTGTTAAAGATTTCTGTGAGTCTGGAGTTGAGTTCACGTTCACTCATCGTCTTTGAGGAGGATTTCGTCGTTGTCATTGTGTTTCTTTCTTTGGGAGTAAGGGAAAGAATTTTTTGTTGTGTGGGGAAAACGGATGGCAGTTGGTAGGTATTGTTGGTGGTGAAGGTGGGCGAGGTCGTCAAAGGTTGGCAGAAAGAAATGTTGAGAGGTGTATTTCTGTATTTGCGGTGGTGTGCTTTTGTACTATGTTGTGTGGTAATTAAGCTGCAAATGGGTGAACGAATAGAAAAAAGAGGACGATTGAAATATTATATGTGCGATGTTACAGAATAAAATTTTTTATACAGAGGAGAGAAAAGTATAATACAAGAAGTTGCTACCAAACTAATAAATTTAGTGGGTTATGCGTGGTGTGGATATGTAATTATGTAAATAAAAAGTTTGTACGTATCAAAAAGTTAAATGAAATGTTTTGTCGATGGTTGGTTCTCTCTTTGAAGATGAGTGGTATATCGAATTAAATTTTTTTGTCGAACAGCGTCAAAATTTTTTTTTTTTTTTTTTTTGTCAAACCAGAACCTTTGTGAAGAAATTGCAAACGTTGAGGATCGATTAAGAGTAGAATTGAAAGCGTCGAAACAATAAAGGTTAAGTTTGTGGAAACGAGAAGCGACAAATTTTCAAAGGTATTTATAAAAAAAAAAATATGTGTATGTATGTGCGTACATACAGTATAATAAAATAATATAATGTACAATTCAAAAAAAAAAAAAAATTTTTTTTTTCTTTTTTTTTTTTCGCTGCTGTCGATAATGCCTTTATATGTATGCAGGCATTTATGGATTTATATTGCGTTTTAGAGTGAAAAGGTGAAGTTCAGTTGTTCCGAAAAGGTTAAAGTACTTTTAAAAATGGCGAAGGGATTGTTAAGCGACCGATAATACAGTAATTGTGTATATTTAAGATCGACGACAAACACGATCAACCGGTTTATTGTGCATTAAGAATTGAATAATATACACCATTTTAATTATATTTCACTTGCTATCGTGATATTCATAAGATTTTTATTTGCAGTGCCTAATAACGGAATGGGGATGTAGCTCAGTGGTAGAGCGTCCGCTTTGCATGCGGAAGGCCCTGGGTTCGATACCCAGCCTCTCCAACGATTAACAAAAAAAAAAATCTGATTTAATTCAGAAAAAAATTTTTTTTTTTTTTTGATCTTCCTATCACCCGGGTGTTTTAATAATCTGGTAAATCAAAGATTGATGGACACCGCGGTCTTCGATACGTCCTGTTTATGCCGTGCACAGCAAAAGATCATAACATGTCGATTGGTACAGTTAAGCTAACCAAAAGAGGCAGATTGAAGGGGTACGTGCATATTTTTGCTAAGCTAAGCTGATAGAAGTCACGAGAGACGGACCCATGTTTGCTGATAGGGTATTTATTAGCATTCGAGAGACCAGGTTTCCTTATTCCGGCGTACCATCCGCATACGTACGCACATGACGTACGTGATCTCATAGTTTTGATTTTCCTCCCCCACATAAGCATTCATGGACATTAATTGTGTCCGCAGAACCCTATTATTACATTGCCCATTATCTAAAGGTTAATATGTGGCTTGGCATCCTATTGTTCCTTATCACCTCATTCGACAAAAGTTCACCCGCCACTTACCACGCATACAATATGTCAGTTGGTTGTTAAAGGCTGTGATGTAATATAATGAAAACGCTCCAACAATCGGATGTGGACGATATTTGTGCACGTACATACGTTGTATTCTTTCGGAGGTAATCATGACCTCATCTATTGCCAAAAATCGAAGTCGTTGCATATCCCAGATCCGCGATAATCGCATGTCTTTGCAAGACGCACCCCAATCTTTCAACAACAATTCATCCTCATTAAATGCATCCTTTGAAAACGTTATCGCCATGCTATCTCCACATGGCACATTGACGAAAGTTTCATTGTGCGAAAGGTGTTGTTGGCGGGAGAAAAGTGAACATTTCATATTCTCTTCATATACATCACATGCCCAAACATCCATTCAATTGATTTTCTGATATTGTTGGTGGCGCATCGCATTGCGACATCGGTTTGATATCATCATTATTGACGGCGGTTTGTTGCGCAAAAAATACAAAAATTCGGAATTTTCGTTCTATCTTTAAATCGTTTGCCTTTTCCATCTCTATTGTTGACACTTTCTGCTCTTGGCGGGAATTTGCGGTAGCGATGAATATGAAGCCAAAGAAGGAAAGGATGAGACTCGAGTTACGCTAAAAAAAATCATTTCACATATCACCAAATCTTTATCTCTCCAGTTCGTGCATGGTTTATGGGGCACGCCAACTTGGAAAACGAATATTAGTGGTCGTGTAACTTTTCGTATTTCGACGTACGTAACCTTATTTTGTTTACATGTTTACCTGCTTTCGAGGTAGCTTTATTCGAAACCATATGCGTCTCTCATTTTGATAAGGATCAAAGTTTGGTGTCGGCATGTGCCGTTTCAACGAAAGTTGATCTTCGCGATACGTGAGTCTCTGTTCATCAGAATAATCATGCGCAAAGCGAAACAAGATTGCGTGAGTTGACATCGAGAACAATCTAAATAACATTCTCGTTTGCACGTTCGATGATCTCCAAGTTTCGGTTGCTTCATTGTTTATTTGCGTGTGTATTGTTGATTTGCGCCACAACTTCAGTAACCACCGCTGCATATTATTATTTTTGACGGCTGCTCATATCGGATTTCATACATAATACATAATCATTGTTTGAATTTCCAAAACTATTTACGGATCTCACTCCTCCCGTCCTGAACGCACACACCGTCTTATTGTTGTAAAGATTGCATGCACTTTCGTGAAGATGATTGATTATTCCTCGCACAAGCTTATTTATTCAACATCAATGCGCGCATACCCTTATTATACGGATGAGGCGTACGAACGCTTCAGTTTGTTTCGATGAAAGTAAAACCGTTTTGGTTTTATTGAGACTGTCGAACATGGCCACAGGCGTATAACAAAACGATTGCCGCGAAAATAACGACACCAGGTGATGCTAATATCCGTAAAAGTCATTACCCCACATCGGTGCCGTGGAAACTTCCAGTGAAATCGGGCACACCCCAACACTCGGTGAAACTATTTAAAAATAAATCCGATGCGTCTATATTTATGACGATGATTTTTCTTCAAGGCTAAACTCGGTTCACCCGTCATCACCTGAAGTGAAAGAGTGAAGATGCACGTGTGTGTACTGTAACATGCCCACCGGGCATAAGTTTTCATATGGTTCCGTAAATTAAACGATCATCACACACGGCATATCCAGGAATATTTATTTATTTATTTATTTATATCAAATTTTTAGGTTAGGTTTTTTTTACAATACGCAATTACTGTATATACTGTACAGTATAATAAGATATCACTTATTTTATTATGGAATATCTTATATAAAGAAAACAAAGAATAAAGTTTTTTTTTAAAAAATAAATTCTAAACCAATTTAGCATTGATTTGTGATAGAAATGATAAAAAAAAAGTTTTTAAAAGAAATCCTATAATATAATTTATTATATAACATACTATATATCATATAATATATAGATTTATGAATAATAAATTTTTTATTGATTTTTAATGATTTTTTTAAAGCATTAATAATAATTTTGTACAAATACCACCTAAAAAAAAAATGGTAAGCATTCTTAAATATATATATATATATATATAAATTCAAATAAAGTATTAATTATAAATCAATAAATATTAAGAATAATAAAAAAATTATTGAAATAATAAAATAAGATGCTTAGGATAAAACATATTAAACTATTACATGGATCTTATAAATAACAAAAATAATTTTGAAAAAAAATATAGAAAAGATTAAATCTAAACCAATTTTAAAATTATAATTAAAATTAAAATAATAATAATAATTATTATTAAAATATATGAAATAAAATTTTTTAAAAAATATAGAAAAGAAAATATAATAAAAAAAATATTTTTTTTTTCTTTAAATCACAACTGGATATTTAATATCAAAAAATAAAAATCTTTTTATTAATTTCTTAATAATATATAAAAAAAATATTTATAAAAAACTTTATATTTTTATATTGATAAAGACATATTAATTTTCTTAAAATAACTTGAAAAATTATATAATATATTTATAATATTTGCAATTAAGCTAAATTATAATTTATTTACTTTTTATTAAAGTTTTTTAAAAATAGATCTGTAGATCAATAATACAGTGATAATACTCCTAAGTCACAATTACAAGGTCTATAGTTCAATACTACTTAAGAATCAAAAATCAAAAATCATCTTTTAATCAAGTTTTATTAGTTATCCTGTGAAAATTATATTCAATTATCTAAAACAAAATTCAATCAGATTAATTTGCAAAAAGATATAACTTTTAATCTTTTATCAATCAAAGGCTAATATTTATAATTGTATTATCAGAAAAATTGTATTAAAAAAAGTTTCTAATCTAACTTACCATATATCAAGAAAATTTTTTGACAAAAATCTTCAAAGACTTTCAAGTGTAAAACTCTGAAGGC